CCACAACACACATGTAAATAAAAGGAAACACTAAGACTTGTAGAACATCAGAATTCTCCATATTCACAGTGCACAGAAAGTCACCTGCAGGTACAGTCTCCTCAAAGTCCATGCAACTCCATTTTAAGGGGGAGCTAAGTGAAGTATGTTTGGTGCTGCACTTTTATACAGGGTTTTTCTCTCCATCCCCAAACTTCCTTGGCACGTGCAAAAGTGGAAACAGATTGGAGTGAAAATATTGAAACTCAGCTGCCAATCTTGAAAGCCCTTTATTGGTTTTGAACTGTATGAGTGATACAGTACGACATTATCCTCCACACAGCTCGCAGCCACACACTGTAGCCTCTCAGGCTTTGTTTTGGCAGATCTACGCTCCAGGGAAGGCCAGGGAGCACCTTCCTGATTTCTTGCGATTATTAATTACTCCTGACATGATCCACACAGTTCTAAGAAAAGTGGCAGCTACACAAATACAGCAGAATGATCAGCTCTGCAAGCACCACACAGACTCAGTTTAATAGTTTTATTATAATCAAGTAATGAGTTAACACCTAAGCAGCAAGATGCTGCAACATGTGGGTAACGAAATGTCCTGCAGTATTTACCTTCTCCTCCTGCTGATCTTCCAGGGCTATGTCCTGTAACTCCTGCGTTAGTATTTCTCCTGGGGGTGTTTCTTCTTTACGACCTGCATCAACCGGATGGCCACGCTTCGGTTTCTGGGCTTGTTTCTTTACTGATTCTTCTTTCAGTTTTCCTTTTTTGCCTTTCTTAACTTTTTCTTCTTTGTTTGACCCTGCAGACTAGATTTCACACACAAAAATGATTTAGACCTGCACTCAGGCACAGAACAAACAATAGGAAGGAAAAGCCAGAGTTATGTTGGCTTACACCCAATAGTTTCATTATGAGCTCTCGATCTTCTTCATCCTGGTCCTTGTATTTCTCTTTCATTTTTTTCATTTTGCTCTGCAAATAAGAAGAGTGGGGGGTTAATAGTTCAGCAAATAAGAAAACGGAATCTCTGCACAATGTCTCTGTGGCGCTCAACCCTCAACTGGCACGTGGACTCCCTCTAGTCTTTGTCATTAAGCACTATATTAACCCAACAGAACATCATTTCTAGTCTCAGAAATACAAAGGGCTGCATACGGATCAATCCGCAATTGCTCTCAAACACAGAGCTATTCGACTGAGTCTAGATCTGTCAGATGCCTGTAGATGTTTGAATATGCAAATTGGAATAATGGACAAATGCAAATAAAGACATTTCATATATTTAAAGAGGAGCCTTTTCACTGGATAAGTCTAGTCAATTCTCCAGCTTTGTCCCGTCTACCTTCTGTCCTCGTTTCACGGGCTGAGGGGCTGACACGCTCTTGTTTGAAACAGGAGAAGATGGGAGCTGTGCGCTCATCTCTATTTCTTTTCCTTCAGGTGGTTCTAAATCCTCGGTCTCATTTTGCTGCTTCTTTTTCTTCATTTCTCTAAGAAAAATAATAATTGAGATCTGCCCCCTTCCAAGATCATTGGCATTTCATGCCACAGAATCTTGTGTTAACACAGCACCTGACTCCACAAGAGAACATCTCTACAAGCTCTATAGCAGACTAACTAAGAACTAGAACACAGGAAAGTCAGTCACAGCTATAAGAAAAAATTCAAAATTTAAACATAGAAGCCAATTACAAAATAATTCAACATCACATGAGAAATTGCTCATTTGCCACGACCAGTCCCGGAAAATACACACAAGGGCTCCTGGGTCTGTGTTCCCATGGGAGGCCAAGGCAGAAGCTCCCCAAGCGTAAAGTTCTTGGCTTTCCCCTCCTCTGACCACGGAACATGGGCAGCCCGGCTGCTTCTGCCACTGTCTTTCATTTCCATCAAAATAAGTAATGTCCAAAAACCCACAAAAGGTTTGAAGGTTTGAGGGGAGACCCAACTCTCTCCAGAAACCAGCATTTACCAGTAAGCCACTCTCTGCTCCAAAGGGTACAGTTGTGATTAACTACAGAACTGGGTCCGGTTCTCTGCCTGAAGGTCTGATTAGCACAACTACGCAAACCTATAAGCACCAGCAACAGTAGATCCAGGTACCTAATGTCCAGCTCTCTCCACAACCTCACAATTCAGTTACCCGAATGTGCCTCCCTTCGCTTTAGACCAGACTCCACGAGCACGTCTGCCTGCTTCAGCTCAATCCAGTATTGGCCCATGGACAGGCTGTTCCCAAAGCAAGTTGCATGCACTGTACATGGGTAAACACGCTCTCCAAGGGGTCCTCATGTCTCAGGGAAAGGAGTGCCAGGCCCAGCCTGAGTGGCTATGGCAGCCTTCACCACCAAGTTCTTACAGGGACTGCGGGATGATCACGTGGTACCTATCCCCTCTGATACAGCCACGGTAGAATCAAGTCACTTCTCCATCATTAGCCAGGCCAGAATAGAGTGGCAGGACCTGGTTCCGATACATGGGACTCTCAGCCCAAACAATCCAACAGAAGGAAACACGAGGCTGATTAATATTTCTTGATGTCTTCTCAGTATAATTTATTGCTTCTACACAACAAGGTCAGGTAGCCTGGAATCTCCAACAATCGCTTGGGACAAAGATGGCTGCATGTGGGGAATCAAGCAATAACTCCCCCAACGCAGATCTCATCTGGTGCTTTGGAGAGGTCACAGCCTTATCAAAGAGGAGTCACTATAGAAAGCTGAGGCACTAAAAATAATCAAAGTCTTGAGACATGCAGGAACACCCATAAACCCAGGTCCAGAACGCATCAGTCACTCCAAAGAACATTTCTGAAATCAAGCTGCAATTCTCCAAGCCAACTTCACATCAGACTTACAGGAAACACTGGAGAAAGCCAGAAGAGTTGTTTGTTGCTCAGTCTATGATCCTGATGTTTGTGGTGATTTCTCCAGCAGATATAGCTCCGCTCTGCTCTGGGGATACAGTGTATCATAATCATGCCTGTCCCTGAAGGACACGGTTAAGCAACATTTGGGGTGATCCCCTGGAATGTTTGACTGATTCTCTGGATCTTTGAAAGGGGAAGAGGAAAAGATGGAGGTAGAAAACCCCCAAAGCATTTTCACCAGCACAAAAGCTAAGAACAAAGAGAACTGCAGCACCCCGGCCCACAGCTCCTACTGTATCAAATGTGCGATCAGTACACATGGACATGATCACCAGCAGAAGCAGAGTCATGTTTATTGTTAAAGACAGGAATGAAAAGCACAGAGAGGCTGACACACCAAAGCGGTTCTGCTGGGTGAGTACGTGGCTGAAGACTAAAGGTTCGTGATTCAAGCTGTGGCTCTGGCAAGCGTGACCCGAGGGAAAGGAAGGGCGCCTAGAAGACATGGTCAGATTAGCTGATGTCAACGTGGGTCAGGCAGCCACCTAGCTGGAAATGGGGAAGTTCTTCAAGCAACCGCATCCAGAAAGGAAATTGGTGCCCCTCTGACTCCACCTCTACGGCGGGCAAGAGAGGCCGCTGGGCTTCCATCTCTGAGCGTGGCTTCAGTTCTTGCCTTGTTTACACACAGAAGTGCGGGACCGTCACCACTGCATCTCAGGGGGGTGGCATTCGTGGGACAGAAACCTGAAGTAGATTATGAGCCCTCCCAGACTCATCTACACAGTGTGGACCCTTACCATGCCGAACCAGGCCCTTCAAGTAACCTGGCGTCCCATTCAAATCAAACTCTTCCATCGAGTACAAAGCGGTTCCTTCGCGTTCGCAAAAACAACGACAAGTCCTGCGGCATTTTAAGGACGAACACGTTTACTTTGGCCTAAGCTTCCGTGGGCTGGAGCTCACGTCGTCAGATCCATATGCACAGTGGCTGTTCTATCCATAGTGCTAGTGTCACGTAGCAAGAAACTCAGAGAAGGCAGGGGAGGAGTTACGAAATGACAGCTCTCATACATGGGGATATTTAGACCTGTCCTTCCCTAAGAGGAGAAGACTCTTACCTTCTCTCCTTGGCTGACAAGTGTCTTCGGCCATGTGACTTACTGTCACTCTATAAAAGGAAACAAAGTTACATTTCGTTATTTCCACTCGTGCAAATCACGTGCTGTGCTATTTGTTTGAAGGTGTCATCAGGGAGCTTACCAGGTGAGACGCTTCCTCTTTTGCAACCATTTTCTGCTGGGACC